AAAAAAAAAAAAAAAAGCGTTATGCTACCAGTAGCCTTATGTAATCTTTATGCCACTATCAGGTTCAAACAAACCATTTTCTCGAAAAATGTTCTCTTTTTATTATAATATAGAAGAGAAGAGATTAAAACACCAGATTTGAACACAGAATAATAATACTAATAACCAAATAAAGAATCTTGTTCAAATAAAGAAACATGGTACTGACTTCTCTCTATATGAAAAAACCATAGACTGCATCATGTCATATCATAATGCATTTAACTAGTCGCCATTTCTGCTCGATTTTAGTCAGCTGTTTTCATTTTATGGTCGATAAAGTGCTATAGACTGCATCATGTCATATCATAATCCATTTAACTAGTCGGAATAATTTGCCATTTCTGCTCGATTTTAGTCAGCTGTTTTCATTTTATGGTCGATAAAGTGCAATGAATGTAGCACTGCATGTTTTAACTTCGGCACAACTTTTACTTACAACTGAAAGGCAACAGCACTTAAGTTTTTAATTTCAGTGGGTCTATAGTGTAGAAATGTATGTAAATACAAATTTCAGAGCAAGAGAAAACACGTGAGCAGTCGTAAAGCGAATTAAAGAAGAATATTTTGCTGAGGTAGCGGTTAAGCACAGGAGGGAAACCCGCTTGCAGCTGTTTTGACTCCACTGTAAACTTTCTCACCGACACGCCCCACGGAATCCCCGATACACTGGAGCTTTCTTCGTCGCTAACAGTCTTGAGAACCGGTCGGAGCAGAGATTTACAATTTACATTGCCCGTTGTCTATTGTGGGTAAGTTTGGGAACTCTGCATCTAATTCTTTGTTATTTATTATTTATATATATTTGTTATTATTTATGTTTTATAAATCTGCTCACCACATGCACCAAAATCGGTTCAGCGTTGCTATAGGCTATTCAAAGAAAGGTATTTATTAAATGCCAGTTTTAATACAATTACTTTCTCAGAGTGAATAGCTGCTAAACCAAATGCTTAAATTGATTGTAATGCAATGTACGGCGATCACGGGATGTGTCAGTTTCGCACTCGCGTTATTGTTCAGCAAAACAAAGCGCTCATTATTATGGCTGATAACCTCGCCATTTACAAGAAGCCATGTACAAGTTCCAAGCCGGGCAGTGGGCTGTAGTGACGGAAGTCATAGTGAGTGTCACATACTGTCACATTTCATTTCATGTAGGAACAAAGGTGATTCATTGCTCCGTGTGCAAGGAAATGAGTGTGGCTGCTTGCTATTAAGGCAAAACTCAAATAAACTCCGGAAGTAAAATATGGCCAGATAAAACGTTTGCACGCCGGTGTTGGTACACCTCGACGGTGGGGATAACAACAATTAGTCAGCAGCACGTGAGCGTCACCGGCGGAGAACGCCGTGTCCAGTAGCAGACATTATAACGACTGAACAGGAATGACTAATGCGGAGTACTTCGATGTGCGGCAAACATTTTACCAATACCCGCCAGAACATTAAAAACCGGTGGTTACGTCAGAGAAATTATATGTGGGATGCTTAAAGATAAGCTAGATAGGGACAAGTATCCATAGTTAGCTTTAAGGCAGTGTAGCAGGTGTTTGAGGGGCATTAGACATTCTCTTGATTAATGCATATTTCATATGTTAGTTTATGTAATTTAGCTAAGGAAAAAAAAAATGAGACTGAGCTGACTAGTCAACATTTACTCATCCACATGCTGTACTAAACCTGTATTACTGTCATTTCTTCCACAGACCTCAAAAGTTAATGTTAGACAGAATGACAGTCGCAGTCACCATTCACTTTCATTGTAGTGAAAGTGAACGGTGACTGAGACTGTAAGTCACTAACACTCTGTCTTTTTGTTTAACAACAGAAAAAAATGCGTACATGTTTGGAACAACATTAGTGTCAGTAAATTATGACTTTTTTGTTTGGGTGAACTATGTATTTAAGTTTCCGTTGCTCTACACCATAACATTTCCATTCCAGTCAAGCAATGTACAGACGAAGGGAAACAATAAGACAATAAACAAACTTCTTTTAACCGTCTCGCATTTTGTTGTTTAATGCAAAATAAACTAAACGGATTCTTAAAGCAAACAATCCCGCGACGTTTACAACCAACCCTGCTTGTGTATACAACGTCTCGTCGCCGTAGAAACGCCGTTCCCGCACGTTTGACGCAAGGACGTCACGACGATTGGTACTTTTTTTTGTTTTTGCTGCGTAGCAACCGGTTTCCGTGGTAACCCTTAAAGGGGCGGCACAGTGGTTGTTGCCTGTAAGGTTTCGCAGACGAGGGAAAGTGCGCTTTCATGTTTACAATCTTTTGACTTTTACGAGATCTTTAGAGGCTAGTATTTCTATATTTAGACCACACAAAGACTTACTTTAGTTGCCATTTATTTTTGCAGTAAGTCCCATTAGCCATGTAGCCAGCGTGCTAATCGTCCCGTTTAACTTGCATGACTGTGCAACGTTGCAAACGAATGGTAGCTGCCATGTTGCTAAAAAAAGTAACGTTAAATTACAGATCCGCACTGTATCATAATCACGTTCGCATGCTCGATTATAGAGACAAACTGCTCGGAATGTGTATAATCTGTCAGATAGTTAGTCTGCTGTAGTCTCCTGCAGTCTTGTTAGCCAAGACAGGCTGCTAGAAAAGAAAGTACAATAAAATAGTTTCACAATCGAAAGTCCTACTTTCTTTATCTTTTACGCTACTTATGCCAACTAGATTGACTGTTTCTGTTAAGTAATTTTAGGTTTGCATAAAGACCAAAGGCTGTGGCTAGTTTGTTGAAGTAACTATTTAACTTTACCATGTGGTGAATTTAGGCGTCTTTGTTTTTTAAGTCGTTAACGTTGCATAAAACAACAACCCACCCATAACAAACCAAGAGTTATAAAACTATAAGACTAAATAATTTATTTTATTTTCGTGCTGAACTAACTGAATACACTGACTCGATTTTTTGTAATAGCCTAATATAAACATGCTTACATAGCAGGACATTTAGGAATAATGTATAACTAGTATAATTTAATGCAACAACAAAAAAATTGAATTAATGTGCGAACAGTGGTATATTTTTGATATTTTGCCATTTAATGCATTATTAATTTCTTCTAAATGAGCTAGTATGTACTTCTCTATGTGGCAACGATACCTTTGTATATTGTAACTCAACAGATAACACAAATTCTAAGATATTTTGCAGCAAAGTGAAATTTAATGCACTGATATACATAATCAAGCAGTCTTTGTTCTGTTTTCAAGGACGTATATATATATATAGTAGATTTGGTGTTTATTGTACAGTATTATCTACAGGATAACTAATTGCATCTAGGTATCTACAATCAACATAAAATAGTGATGTCAGTTTATTGCAATTAATTAGGAAATTAAAGAAAAAAATCAATTAATCATGCCCTTTGACCCTGTATGTAAATTCCATAATAATACAGAATTTCCTTACTATAGGTGCAATTAAAGCTTGAAGCAGGTTACGGTATTGAACAGAATGCCATGTTCTTGACAGCTTTTTAAAAAATGTGGCCGCATTCCATGAAAAACAGCAAGTGTCATGTAACATTAGTGTACCAACTATGCAAATGTTATAAAACGAATGATCATATGCTGGTAATTATTATAAATATCAAGTAAAGAGACTGTAATTTAACTGTTGTATATTGTGTAAAATGTTTAGAGTAGTCTTTCTGCTGTCCCTATCACCTTACTGTTTATGTTGTATCCTACAATAAAATACTTGACTAGTAAAACTCAGTACATTCAGGACAGTGGTTTTCAATCCTGGTGGGAACCCCAACACTGCTCATTTTGTATGTCTTCCTTATTTAACACACTTGTTTCAGATCATCATCTTGTTGGGAACTGGACTGAGAATGTCATATAAGTACATACCAGTGCTGTGGATCACCAGGATTCGAAATGACTGATTTAAGAGATGCAGTTTGTGCTGTAAGTGAACTGAAAAACCGAATATTAATAAAAATTATTCAATTGGCGGTCTAGCTGTTCCAAAGACAGAAACTGTGGTGAGAAACTATGTGCTATGAAGTACAAAAAATGACTCGCAGACTTGCAGTGTGAATTGATTGACACTGCAAGTCATTAAAGCTCTAGTAAAAGACTATGATGAATACAGAAACGGAAGTGTAAAAAATCTGAAATAACGTCATTTCCAAGATCACCTTAAGCAGGAGAGCATACAGGCCGAAGTTATGAGGCAGCCTAAGGTTTAAGTTTTATATTAATGTGTAAATTGTTTCGCTGAACAAATACTTCAGCCTATTTGCTTTAATTTATTTACAGATTTTTCATACTTATGCATTTTAAATAGTATGTGCACCTATGCTTTTAAAAAAAACAACATATTAGCTGTTATATACACATGTAGAAATAAAATGTATTCTTTTTAAATGTTTGGTTAAGTAAGTTAACCTACGAGATGACATATAGGCAGGTCATT